CGTATGCATCAGCAGTGGGAAGTTTGATGTTCGTTATGATATGCACAAGACCAGACATTGCACAAACAGTGGGAGTGGTTAGTCGGTACATGGCGAATCCATGCAAAGAGCATTGGAATACAGTAAAAAGGATCCTGAGATACATCAAAGGGACCTCAAATGTTGCATTATGTTACGGAGGATCAAACTTACTAATCAATGGGTATATAGATTCTGACTATGCATGGGATTTGGATAAAAGCAAATCTACTACAGGATATGTGTTCAAAATTGCTGGTGGAGCTGTAAGCTGGGTTTCAAAATTGTAGTCAGTTGTGGCTACATCCACAACAGAGGCAGAATATGTAGCAGCTACACAAGCCAGTAAAGAAGCAATTTGGTTGAAGATGCTATTGGAGGAGCTTGGTCACAATCAAGAGTATGTCTCTCTGTTTTGTGACAGTCAAAATGCCTTGCATCTAGCAAAGAATCCAACATTTCATTCAAGGACAAAGCACATACGAGTTCAATATCATTTCATTCGTGAAAAAGTGGAAGAAGGGACAATATATATGCAGAAAATTCATACCAAAGACAACATAACAAATTTCATGACGAAGGCATTCAATGCTGATAAAATTTACCTGGTGTGGATCCTCTTGTGGCCTGTAAAAAACGTAAGCAACATGAAGGTACAAGGTAGAAATAATGGTGAGAAGATATGATTATTCAAATCAAATCTTCAAGTGGGAGATTGTTAAAAGTCAAGCCTACAATTGTTGAAAGTTAAAGAAACTTTCGGTGGCAGCTGCAATTGTTCAACAATTGCTTTCGGTGGCAGCAAAAATTGTTGAATTTTGGTAAAGGTAAATTACCCAATTTAGTCATTGTACTTTAGGGTATTATAAGATTAGTCCTTAGGCTTCAACTATAAATACCCTAGCTCATTTAGCTTTAAAACCATCCCAAATCATTATAGTTTTCTCCTAATACTAGAGAATTTAGAGAGTTTCTTGAGAGTTTTCTCCTTTTTTATCAAGAGAGAATTATCATTGTTTTCTCCTTAGTAGATCGAGAGAAGTTGTAATTCCTATTTTTTTCATAGTGAAATTCTTCTACCGTTGCCCGAGGTTTTTACCCTATATTATTTAGGGGTTTTCCACGTAAATTTTGTGTCTCTTTTATCTTCATTTTTATTTTCTCAAATTATCAGTTGCGTTTTTGCTCTATCCGATAGCCATATTCCGCAACAATTGCATGCCTCAACCACTTTGATTTTGATATTCTGCAAAGTTGGGGTTTTTTTATTTTATGTCTCGGGTTGTTATTTTCTAACATATGATACAATCATGCTGGCTAAAGCAGGAATCTGAATGTGTTTATTTGAGGCAGTGGTGCCATCAGAGTGTCCAGATTACTGTTTAACTCAAGTTTCTTCGTTATGACTGTTGAGGTTGTCACTACTGTCATTGTCTTCTTGGTAGAGTCTGACTGCCCCGAGGGTTGTAATTATGCAAGCAATTTCTCTAGTCAAGGCAGATACTCGTCATTGGTCATAGTCAATGTGGAGTTCAGAGGTTCAACTCTTCCTTGTCCTTAACTGACCCCCCATAAGTTTTGGTTGAATCCCTCTTGATGACAAGTTTTGGTAGTCGTCTACGCGAGGTTGTTATTTTGGGATTATTGCTCGAGTGTTGCTTCTGTAGCTGCACATTTTCTTGGGTTGTTTTTAGTTCTTTCCCGGAGAACATTTGGTGATTCTGCTGCACTGGTCTTGAAGGGGTTCCTCGCTTCTAGTGTTGTTAGCCATTGATATATTTGGTTGTTGATGCCCTTAGTGTTGGTAGATTGGTGCGTGGGTCGTTACATGATTGATGTTGTAAAGATGCTCATTAGGGTGGCTGGTGATATATATATCAAAAGATAAAAAATTTGTTTATATTATTAATGTTTAATTTTTTTATTATTCTAAATGATTACAGGATAATATTTATAAATAAAATTAAAAAATATATATTTGGAACAAGTAATGCAATTTTTTTTGACAAAATCTGTTTTTTTTTCAATTGAAGCGAATAATAAAACATTTAATTATTTAGGCACAGTATTGTCCGATACACGCTCTTCCCATACCGTTTGAGGCTTCCTCTAAAGTTCCAATGACGGCATAAAAGGGTGGCCTCTTTGAAGGATCATTACTTGTGCATTCTTGTACAAGTCTACAAATTACAAACTCCAATATGATTAGTAAAATGAATTAATTAACAGGAATTAAGTAAAACTAAGGCTTAATTGATAATTCGACACTTAAAGTATAATCTAATTCCTATTTTGACCCCTGAGGTTTTTATCTAATATGATATTTAAGTTTTATTCAACCAATAGTTTTGGTCTCTACCTTACACTGTTAAAGAAACGATGTGGTCCTTTTAACCAATCAATGAGTGAAACATGAAGGATCAAATTAAGCCAATTTGAAGAATTGAAGGCACAACTGGCTAGGGAATTTGAAATGAAGGACTTGGGATTAACAAACAAGATTCTAGGGATGCACATTCACCGAGACAGAAGTAATAGGAAGATTTGGCTTTCACAAAAGAATTACTTGAAGAAGATCTTGTCACGATTCAACATGCAAGATTGTAAGCCAATTTCTACCCCTCTTCCTATTAACTTCAAATTATCCTCCAGTATGAGTCCTAGCAGTGAAGAAGAGAGGATTGAGATGTCTCGAGTGCCGTATGCATCAGCAGTGGGAAGTTTGATGTTCGTTATGATATGCACAAGACCAGACATTGCACAAACAGTGGGAGTGGTTAGTCGGTACATGGCGAATCCATGCAAAGAGCATTGGAATACAGTAAAAAGGATCCTGAGATACATCAAAGGGACCTCAAATGTTGCATTATGTTACGGAGGATCAAACTTACTAATCAATGGGTATGTAGATTCTGACTATGTAGGGGATTTGGATAAAAGCAAATCTACTACAGGATATGTGTTTAAAGTTGTTGGTGGAGCTGTAAGCTGGGTTTCAAAATTGTAGTCAGTTGTGGCTACATCCACAACAGAGGCATAATATGTAGCAGCTACACAAGCCAGTAAAGAAGCAATTTGGTTGAAGATGCTATTGGAGGAGCTTGGGCACAATCAAGAGCATGTTTCTCTGTTTTGTGACAGTCAAAGCACCTTGCATCTAGCAAGGAATCCAACATTTCATTCAAGAACAAAGCACATACGAGTTCAGTACCATTTCATTCGTGAAAAAATGGAAGAAGGAACGATAGATATGCAGAAGATCCATACCAAAGACAACATAACAGATTTCATGACGAAGGTGATCAACGCTGATAAATTTACCTGGTGTCGATCCTCTTGTGGCCTGTCAGAGACGTAAGCAACATGATGGTACAAGGTAGAAAGAATTGTGTGAAGATATTATTGTTCCAATCAAATCTTCAAGTGGGAGATTATCAATAATTGTGGCAGCAGCCGGCTGCTAATTTAGTCTAAGTGGGCAGCCAACTTTGGTTGATTTTAGTAAGGTATAATTATAAAATTTAATCACTAAACTTTAGGGTATTTACAAGATTAAGTCCTTAAGATTTAACTATAAATACCCTAGCCCATTTAGCTTCAAAACCATCCCAAAGAATTCTAGCTTTCTTTTAATACTAGAGAGAATTTAGAGAGTTTCTTGAGAGTTGTTTTCTCCTTTTTATCAAGAGAGAATTATCATTGTTTTCTCCTTGGTAGATCGAGAGAGGTTGTAATTCCTATTTTTCTCATAGTGAAGTTCTTCTACCGTTGCCCGTGGTTTTTACCCTATATTATTTAGGAGTTTTCCACGTAAAATTTGTGTCTATTTTATCTTCATTTTTATTTTCTCAAATTATCAGTTGCGATTTTGCTCTATCTGATAGTCGTCTTCCGCAACAATAACAACCCTAGTGGTGTCTTGTAAAGAATCCTATAGGTCGGAGGGTGGAAAGATCCAACCACATCGCCTTCATGTTCGGCTGCTTCCCACCCATCACTTCCCTCCAACTTTCATCCTACCCTAGTTTTCTTGCCATATCTCGTGCTTCACTATTTTCAACTCTTGAATTTCATATATATATATATATATAATACTAAATACTTATAAATTTTATTTACTATTCTACTTATTATTATTTATTAAAAAATTCAACAAATATATTTTTAATATGAAATATTTATTTTCATTAAGTGTGAAAAATCAATAAAATTATGATTGAGAAGTACATTCTATCACGATGAGATGCCAATTTGGTGTTTGGATAACGTTCTCATTCATACGTGCCTTAATTAAGGATCATTCATTGAAATTTCTCAAAGATTTCTCAAAGATTTGACAAAGACAACACCATTTGTATATAGTTTTTCCTTTAAACCATTTTAGTTTAGTATAGAATTAGGATAGTTCGATGAATAAAAATAAAAAAATTGAAATTAACCGCAAGAAATATGAGTTAATCCCCGTCTTCATTTTCATTCATATCCAACAGTCATAAATCCATGTAAAATTAGAAAAAAACATTATGTTGCATAAATGGATACTAACCTTATATATAACATGTTTATTGCTTTATATATTACTTAATAAGTAGATATTAATATATTATTCCTTTCGAGTTACAATTTTAACCATATATAAACGTGTAACATGTATCTTTAACAATCACAACTTTTTTTATAGAAAAAAATTCAATGTATAAATAAATTATTATGTGCTAAAATAAGTAGACATTCCCCTTTCTAGGTCTAACATATTATTCTTTTAGTTTTAAACTCTTGTAAATATACGTTAATGTGGCGAGTTGAATGAATAATCCAATGAAGTAGATAAGAATCTCACTAAAAGGCTTTCCCTGTCTCGTGCAAGTTACGACTGCAACTTGCTAACACAAATTTCATGGAAGCAACACTCTTGGCATAAAGTTGGTCCTTCAGTGCTCTCAAAACTACTGTTTTGATTATTGTTCTTTTTAACTTCTGACAATGACGTGCAAAATCACGGGAATCAAAATCTTCCATGCATGACCATCGCTTTGAGTTTTGTTTGCAGATATGGATTCAAACAACCAATTATAATTTTAAACTGTAATAATAGACAATATAAATGATCAAAATTTAATAATTCGATAATATAAGTGATAAAACATAATTTTTTTAATTTTTAACCAAAAATATATAAATATAAAATAAAAGGGATCAATCCGATAATTTATCCAACTTTAAAAGTTTGGCTCATGATAGCCAACTGGGATAGGGTATCTTAATATAAGAAAGAAACAAGGTGGGGGATAAACCTTTGAATAAACTTTGACATTAATTATCAAATCGACCTAGTAATTAACCCACAATTAAATAAATTACCACTAGATTAATCAGGGATGGACATAAAAGATGGCGGCTAGGAGCTATTGTAGTCTTAAAAATTTTAAATTTTTATATATTTTATATTTTTTATCGTTAATTTATTTTCTTTCTAAAATTTTATAAATTCACTTACCTAACATAAAATTTTACATTGGTCACGTGTTTTATTGTTTAAAAAATATATTGAAAATTAGTGTGAATCCTACAACCTAAAGTCGACACGTGTAAACCATGAAAATCGAAAATGGTAATGGTAGGAGTAGGAATATGCCTAGATTCATCTGGATGGCCACTAATTCATCTAGTGGTCGAAACTCGAAACTAATGGGGGTTCATTCGACCATTTTTAGACTGCGTTGGATTTATACAGTGAAATGTTGTTTTTGAAAATAAAACTTTTAAAATATTTGATTAATTGATATATTATTTGAATCATTTAATGAAAATATAAGATCATAATATTTGATCGAATGAATGTAAAATTATTCAAAGGTAAATTCTATTAAATTGTTATTATTATGATATTTTTTTTATAAATTAAACTTCTAATATTAATCTAAACTATTTTTATGAGAAGTTATAAATCTATTTTCATTATATTATCTGAATTTTACAAAAAAATAATATTTGAAAATAAATTTACATAATTATATAGTTTATGTTTACTTTTATTAACACGGTCACCGCTTAACCAAATTAAAGTAACTTATGACAAACATTGTTATAAGCTTGTAAGTCAAACTCTCATATAAAAATAAAGCTCAAACTTGAATCGAGTTTACATTATTTCAATCAAATTTATACTACGAGCTAAATATTTAGATTACGTAGTTAAAAATATAATATTAGAGACATCATAACATAATATTAATAAGATGTTGAAATACCATTTAAATCTGTGTAAAATCATTTAAATATTAAAATTAATATGAAATAAAAGGTATTTAATAAATTATACATCCTAATTATTTAGACATCTAACTAAAAATATACAATAAATGAACCAACAAAAAACTATTATTTTAGGGACAATATTATTTAACTTGATCAAAATTGACTGATACCTAAACATAATAATGAAAATGTAATCCTTATTATTTTGACAAAAAAATACTTTTATTTGTGATCATTTTATTGTAATATAAGTCCCTCCAAATTAAACATGAAAATAAAATTTCAAGGAAAATATTATCCTAACAATAATAACAAAATATTCCTTAATCACAGTTGCTCTCGACCATCAAAAATAGTGTTTGGAATGATTAAACATGATTCGCTCATTAAAGGAAATTGAGGTGTTTAAAAAGAAATTCATTGAACGACTCCTGTGATAAAAAAATATTATTTTTTTAAAAAATTGAATTTAAACAGTTATATTCATAAAATGTATGTGTTATAAAAAGGTAAAAAAACTTTAAACAAATATTATGCCAAGACTATTAAAAAATCTCAAAAGGACTGGAACCACGACCTATATGAACGTCCCTTGAACCAAGCCGAAAGCAAATCACATATCTACGTGTCCCGGTTAACTTTTCAACACGTGGCCGTTTCTAATTCGCAGGGTTTGGCATTCCCAATGGTGGAAAGGCATGCATGCAAAAAGCAAAGGCATAGATTCAAATAGATGGTGCAAGATTGTGTCATCCGTAACTTTGTCCCATCACCCTGCTGATATTTTCCAATTATTTATTAAATAATTTTCAAGAGAAATTTAAAAAACAATTAGTCCAACTCCCAACAGTTGATACCTTGATCGTTAATATATTATGATTAGTCTTATAAAATTATGGAGGAGAACGAATTTATAAAATTAGATTATTAATAAAACATACACAAAAAATTTAAAATTTAAAAAAAAACTTAAAAATTTCAAAGGGATAATTACATTCTTCCACTTTCTCGATCCATCCGTATTTATGACAAGATCCAATCAAAAGTAATAACGGGTAAGAAAGATGTTTTGTATATGATGAGACTGTGGCATATCATTTCATTTCATGTTGTAAAAACCTTTCATCAAATTTCAAAAGCAATCGCAAATATGTTTGTTGGGGGGGCGAATATCTTCCTTTTCTTTTCTCATTGTCTTTTCCATTGAAATTTTCATCAAATAATATTATACATTCTATTCATCAAAGCTTTTTCAGAAACGAGAGGCTCTGCTTTTGCTGATATCATTCCAAAAATAATACAGAAAATTATTTTTTAATTAATTTGCATGTAATTTTATAATATATTTTCAATTATTTTTAAAAATGGAAAAAAACTTGGCCGCCGTGATAAACGTGGCAAGTGCCTTCATTATGCCTAATGCTATTCGCAAGCATAAAAAAATGTAATTTATATCAAATAAAAATGACACGTAAGTAGTTTTGTTAATTTTTTAACGGTGAGTTACCAAAATGAAACCAAATATAATGTTAGGTATGATTTGGAAAAAAAATCGTTGGATGACGAAAATGGAACAAAAGGGATAGTTCAAGTACTAAACATGTAGTTTACCCTAATTTTTATCAATATAAAAGTATTGAGGATCATTTTCTCTAATTACGAAGTAAATTGATATTAATTAAGGAGATGTAGAATTTAGAATCACATTTTGTATCTATAAACTCTAACCTCCTAAAGATGGTTATGAGCATTCATCTGGGTTAGGGTATGTTAGTGTATAAATGTTAGTGAAGAGTTAGTTGTAACTAAAGTTGTTAAGAGTGTTGTTGCTAGTTAGTTAAAGAAGCTGTTGCTAGTTAGTTAAAGAAGTTGTTAGCTGGCGTTGTTAATCAGCTAGTATAAATGAGCTGGTTAACCTCCTATCGTGTATGCAAGATTATTGAAATGCAATACATAAATTTCTTCTATCTTCTCCTTTATCTCTTTGTTACATTACAGTTATAGTTATATCTCAACATAGTATCAGTCACTAATTCCTGGTGCTGCTGTGGTGTGGCTTCTTGCTGCCATTCATAAAACTCAAGTGCTTGTCGTCTGCCTTCATTGCTTCATCGTTCTTTACTTCTTGATCTGATACGTGTTTCTTGAAGTTCAGATCTGTGTTCTTGCCCAATATAGTTGATCTTATGGCTGATCCGACTCGTGACGAGAATGGTTCTCAGATTAATTCCCCTACGAGCTGTACTGGCACTCGTGTAAGTCCCATTCAGCATATACCCAAACATGATACAGTTAAACTCACTGAAAATACGTATTTGTTGTGGAAACATCAAGTGTCGTTAATCGTTGATGGTTATGGTTTGTTGAAGTTCATTTCGCCTAATATAGTTATTCCAAGTGAATTTGTTACCAATGATGCTGGGCAAATCGAGGAAATCCAGAATTCTTGGCTTTCAGGCAATAAGATAAGTTGCTTGCCTCCTGGTTGTTAACTACTGTAAGCATGGAGATTCTGCCCCACCTCACTGGTCTTACCTCTGCAGTTGCTATTTGGAATGTTTTGACACGTTTATTTGGTGCTCGATCTAGTGCGAAAATCTCCTCGCTTCGCCATACTTTGCATTCACAAAAGAAGTCTGGTCTGTCTATTCATGAGTTTTTAACAAAAGTCAAAGATGTATGTGATTTACTAAATGCTTCTGGAAGTCTTGTGACTGAGCAAGAACATGTTAGTGTCATTTTAGCAGGCCTAACTATGGAGTTTGAATCCATTATTGCTATAGCTTCCAGGGAAGAGGTATCATAAGACACTCTCACGGAAATGTTGCTTGATTGTGAGGCTCGACAGAAGATGTTCTTAGGCGATGGACTCTCGGCCAATGTGGTTCAATTAAAGCCCGATGGTGAACCGAATATTAAAGATTCTATTGATGATCATTCCTCTCAAGTGCGTGATCAGCAGGGAGGTAGTTATCGAGGACGAGGTCGTGGACGGAGTTATAACTCCAACAGGCCACAATGTCAATTATGTGGGAAGTTTGGGCATGTTGTCCAGAAGTGTTATCATCGGTTTGATCGTGATTACATTGGGGTTGGTGACTCTAGTACATTGACTGGGAGTTATTCAAAACGATCAAATAGTTTAGGTATTGATCAACATCAACCTTCTGTAAGGGGATATAATCATGCAGTGAACACGATAACATATTATGGTCTTGTTCCTGCCCTTCCCCATATTTGTATCCACTCCGTTCGATAGCTTCTGGTGCCTCGTTTTGTTCCCCAACAGCCTTTGGTTACTATCCATCTTCTGGGTTCGCAGTTAGTTCTCCCAATGATGGTTCAAACCCTTCTGTAGTGAGCCAGAATCCGTTCTTGACACCCTCAACACCTGCAACCTTCGTTTTGATGATTCCATCCTTAGGTGTCCAACCTTCTTTGAAGTCCACGAATGATGTTGTTTGGTATCCTGACACTGGTGCAACTCACCATGTAACTAATGATCCATCCGTTTTCCACTCAGGTATGGTGTACACGGGTGACAATGACTTGCACATGGGCAATGGCGATGGCATTAAAATTGCACATGTGGGGCAAAGTTCTTTATATTCTAATCTAAAACCCTTACTTTTGCGAAACATGTTACATGTTCCTAACATCAAGAAGAAGCTGATTTCTGTTTCACAGTTTACACGTGATAACAATGTTTTTCTTGAATTTCACCCATATG